ATTATTTTATTATTTTATTATTTTATTATTTTATTATTTTATTATTTTATTATTTTATTATTTTATTATTTTATTATTTTATTATTTATTTTATTATTTTATTTTATTACTTTATTTATTTTATTTTATTATTCTATTCTATTTTTTATTATTTTAATCATTCAATCAATTAATTTCTATAGCCTCTCAACTCAAGAAAGTGACTGGATGGCTTACAATTTTACAATATATGATTGAATGTGATGCATGGATCTAGCCATTGTGAATCATTCAGCAAACCATGGTTATGAAAAATTATAGAGGAACAAGGTGTCAATGATTGAAGAGTATGGTTTGTGACTGTCAAATAAATATTGTAGCAGTGAGTTAAAATGCCTTTGTATTAAGGATGGTATGAACTCTCTCTGAACTGACAAGTTACAATATTTATTGATTTATTTACTAAATTTATATGCTGTCCATCTCATTATCAAGTGACCTAGAATATTGATTAGCATTCTCTGCTCTGTGCATCCAGTTAGGCTATTAAATGCACCAGCTCCAATATTTTTTCTTGTATATTTATTAAACCATATTTAAGTTGTGAACCACTAAAAAGTTAGTTATATTGAAAAATTGAATTTGTATGTTGCTAAGAGAGATCAGCTATATGCTACCTCTGGGTAAACACTGTTCAGCAGAAAAAAGCTTAAAAACCCAGCTGTCATCTTGAGGTTAACCTCATGCCATTTTGGTAGGATCAGTTAATTTTCTCAGCAGGAGCTTATTTTTAGTTTATTAATTCCATTTTCTTTGGTTCTTCCTAGTTGTGAGAGGAATTGCAATCCTGTGAATATCAGTGAAGATGTTATGTTGAGAGTCTCAATGAGGGAAGATGCAAAGTCTGTACTTTACAAGTGGTATTTAGACCACTCCTTCAAAAAGAAGGTAAGGGTATTATGACCACCTCAGAAATGCCACACTTTGAAAAAGAATATTTTTTTTAGAGAATAACGTACCCTCTGAGAACAAATAATGTTCGAGAGATATGGACATATTGGATGATCAACTTAGGGTTATAAAGAAGTATACTATGTGATTTCTCAGAGAGTGGATTCCTGATTTTCACTTTTAGCAAATTCACAATAGTATGACTATGCCTAGGAAGATAGAACTAAGTTCTACCTAGAATTAAGGAGAAATTTGCTAACAGTGAAAATGTTAACCAATGGAACAGATTGACTCCAGAAGCTGTGGATGCTCCATCACTGGAAGCTTTCAAGAAGAGATTGGGCCGTTTGTCTGAAATGGTATAGGATTTGAGCAGGACTGGAAGACCTCCAAGATCCCTTCCAACTCTATTATTCTATTCTACTCTATTATTCTGTTACTTTAAAATTGTGCATCTAGTTTTCACCCTGAAACAGCCAGTTTCAGTTTTAGCTTCAGCACAGCCTGATTAGCACAAGCAGCTGATCGTTGGTTGGATCGGCCTTCCAACCATCAGCTGTTTCAGGATGCAGGGATTGCCATTGCCTATTGTCGCCTTCCCATTTTCAGCCTCCGCATCCCATTGTTGGCCTGTGTACACCCCGTTTTCAGCCTCCAGGTGCCTCATTTTCTACCCATTCTGATCCCTGCTGCCCGGATCAGGTGGAAAATCATGCAGAGGCTGAAAATGAGGCATTCGGAGGCTGAAAACAGGATGGGGAGGCTGAAAATGGGCCGCGCAGAGGCAGCAATAGGCTACAGCAGTCCCTGCAGGCTGAAATAGCTAATCATCAGGAGGCCTGACAATCAGGTGCTTGTGCTAATCTGTGCTGAAACTGAAACTGAAACTGGCTATTTGCTGCAAGGAGGCAAATTGCTGGGAGGCAGAGGCAGATTTTTTTCTCATTTTCCTCCCTAAAAGCCACGTACATCTTATACTTCAGTGCGTCTTATATTCCAAAAAATACAGTATATTCCTTCCAAAAGAATATTTAAGAAGGAAGATTTTAATTTCACCATTTGAGGATGAGATGAGGGAAATAATCATACCTAGAGGACCTAGCATGCTTGGAAAAGATGATGGTTACTTAAAAAAATGGATATTTTTTAATTCCTGTTGTTCTTCAACTTTCCTTTGATTTCCTTCCTCAGTCTAATCTGCTGCCTCCAGGATGCAATTTAAATGGTTTCCCACAAAGCTCACTCAGTTTTCTTCAAAATGATACTGAAGTTCTTGTCCTGAACAGCTCGTTTTTGCAATCGCATGGCAAAGCCTTTCAAATAAAAGCAACAGGTATTGGCCACTAAAATTTGGATATTTTGTTTGAAGCAATTTATTACCTGGTTTAGTGGGTTTTTTTTTTAAACTGGCAGTTTTTAAGTAGCTTTATGTTAACCCCATAGACGTTGCAATTCAGCTGAAAAAAGACATAACATACTAAATCAACAAAATTTCTATTCTGTTCTAAGTAATAACAAGTAAAAAAAGGTTAAGAAAGGAATACTAATAGACGGGAATAGTAATAAAATAACCTGTTCTTTAGCAAAGACTTATTTGATTTTAAAAGAGCCATGGTACATTTTAGTGCCCATTCCTCATGATGTACAGCACAGTAAACCGATTGTTCACTGCTGCTTGTTTCCAAAATTTTCAGCTGTGAGTGAGAACAAATACGGAGAAGAAACCTACATTGTCAGCTCGGTGCCTCCTCCGGTAGCTCCAGAATGTTCTGTGTCTCCTCCACAAGGATCCGTGTTCAACAGCTTCTCCATCTCCTGCCAATCTTCCTGCCTATTGGGCCAGTGCCCTCCAATTGAGAGCTCTTCATTCATGTATTGCTTCTACCTGGAATCAAGTGAGACTCAGTTATTGGGGTGATAATCTCAAGGTCAGGGGTGAGCTTCAAAAATTTTAGCAAGGGATTCTCTTCCCGGTTGCTGGATGGCCATGGTGGATGTGGCCTAGTCGGCCTCCTGCACCATGGTGTGGGGGGACGGCGTTTTTGCCCTCCCCAGACTCCAGAGGCTTTCCTCGATCCTCCAAGAGGGCGAAATCGGCCTCCCCAGGCTCCAGAGGCCCTCTGGAGGCCAGAAACGGACCCGAACATCCGGTTAGCCCATTTTGTGCCGTCCCCAACCCTCTACACATGCCCTGCACTTACCTGCCCGGTAAGTACCCCTGCGAACCCCCAGCAGCCTGCCCCTGCTCAAGGTCCTTCTATAAACTAAAAAACTGTGGTGGAATGTATTCTGGATTCCCAGGAGGGAGGGGAGTGCATTCCAGAGGAACAAGAGACAGCAAAGTTTAGACAATTTGTGTGGGAGAAAGAGAGTTAAGGCAGCTTCTCCCTATCAGTTCTCAGACTATAGGTTTAATGAGGGACATAGTCTGCTTTAGCTTAGGAAGAGTTTGATCTATAGGTGAGGAACAATAAAGGAAACTGCTTGGAAGATCCTCATCACATCTGTCTTGATTTCTGGATCTCGACAAGGACAGCATAAAGAGCCCTTCTGCAACTTCTGAATTCTTTCTTTATCTCATATCCCCATGTTTGGCAATTCATGCTTTCGAAAGCCACAAGAACCCCACAATTCTCCTAAATATTGTCTGTGGAATTCAAACATTTTAAGCAGCCTAATATCTCATGGAAAAACATTTCATCATGTAAGGACTTTATCACTCTCTCGGGAAATTTCACAAGATTTCAATGAGAGGGCATGAAACTTGAACACCCTCACAAAAGCCTGCACAAACGCTCGCAGATGAGATTTCACAATCTCACAAGATTTCAGCCATATTTTCATGGCTGGAATTTGGTGTCCCCTCCTGGCTTAATAGCAATTATGGTTTAGCGCAGGGGTCTCTAACCTTGGCAACTTTATGACTTGTGGACTTCAACTCCCAGAATTCCTCAGCCAGCATGTGCTGAGGAATGTGCATGTGCTGGCTGAGGAATTCTGGGAGTTGAAGTCCACAAGTTGTAAAGTTGCCAAAATTGGAGACCTCTGGTTTAATGCAATTGTGCAAATCCTGCAAAAGGCTGTAATTGGGAAGTGCTGTATGCTAACTGCTGTTTTCTTAGATGAATCAATGACGTGCTTTTCCATTCAATGATAAGGCACTGAGAATAGTCGATAAATTATAATGTAAAGGCAATTTAAGGACACATAGATTGGTCATTAGCCCTTCCATAATTGCTTAAGGAAACTTCCTTTTTCATTTGGTGAGTACAGTCTTCCATCTGAGTCCACTTCCTTCTTTCTTGTTCTTTTCAGATTCCCTCCTTCACTGTGGACAAGATCCAGCCCTACCCTTGGTCTACCTTCCATTGGGAGAAGAAGACAATGACTTTGTTCTACAGATTAAAATTTCAGTGGCCAATAATTATGGCCATGCTGTTTATTCAAATGCCACCGTCAGGGTGAGTTTGACCTGGCCTTGCTTACCTTCCCAGCTTTTTGCCTTTGTGTCCATAGACTTTACAATCCAGGACAGAGAGAAAGGAATGATTTGAACCAACTTTCTGTGTCGTCCCCACCCCACAAATTGACACTTTCTTTCCTAGTGCCTTTAAGTTCAGAAAAGGATTTTTTTTTAAAAAAAACAATTGGCTATTCATCATTTAAACTTCAAAGTTGTCAGCTCTTCTTTCAGAATCGGATTTTCCCTAAATGTGCCAATATGACATCTATATATATAAAAATGGCTGTATGTGTGTATGTTCCAGCATAACTCTGGAACACCTCGAGCAATTTCAACCAAACTTGGTACACAGATGACTTACTCTCTGGAAACAAATACTGTGGATGTAAGATACCCCTAAAACTCCTTGGGGGGTGTTCTGTTAAGATACAGCCTGTTGTGCCTTAAAATGGCTTCTACCATACTGCATAAAATGGCTTCTACTGTGCAGTGCAGTGGAGTTGCCCTGGTAATGGCTTCACAGTACTCCACAAGGGGGCTCTCTCTGGTAAGGAGAAAAATCCAACATTAGAAATTATGTTTGGTCCAGACATCTTCCCCCTATAAATAAATAACCTGGGCAATGCCGGGTTATCGGCTGGTTCCTAATAAATCTATACTTTGAGGAATATGCCTGCCTCAGAGTTTTGATTCTCTTGGGAACCTTGACAGATGGACAGACAACTCTGTTTTTTTCCCTAAACCATCTTGTTTTGCCAGGTACAACCTGAAGATATAAACAGCGGGAACCAAACTTTGCAGGCCATGGTTCTGGAAAAATCAAACAGCATCCTAAAAGGAGAAAATAACAGCATGTCCCTCTTTCAGCTGTATAAATCAGTTACTTCTGTTCTTAATCAAGGAAGGAAAGAAGCCACCTTTAATGCATCTCTGCAGACAGATACGCGGAAAGAGGTTCGTCTTTTGAGCTTCTCTCTCAAAACCATTTGCTCCAGTGTCATTGGATTCAGAACCACTAGTTCTAGAAACAATAAGTATACAGTTTAGTTATGGAAAGCAATTTCAGGGTCATCATCAGAGGTGGAATTCAGCAGGTTCTAATCAATTCTGGAGAACTGGTAGCAGAAATTTTGAGTAGTTTGGAGAACTGGTAAATACCACCTCTGACTGGCCCCGCCCCCATCTATTCTCTGACGCCCGAGTCCCAGCTGATTGGGAGGGAACAGGGATTTTGCCGTATCTTTCCCCTGCCATGCCCACCAAGCCACACTACACCCACCAAGCCACTCCCACAGAACCGATAGTAAAAAAAATTGAATCCCAACAATGGTCATAATAATTTGTTATCATACTAGGAAGACCATGGAGTGAATTGAAATATCATCTATACATCGAGCTGTGGTTAAAAAGTAGAAGGAAACAATAAGATGATTACAAACAACTTTGTCACTACATATGATGGAACCCTTAACATATCTATGCTATCCTTTAGAAATCTGATGAACCACAATCACACAAAAATTCACACCAAGGATGTGTGCTTGTGTTTTATTTTTATAGTTATAATGTACACTGAAGATGGCATTTAATTTCATTGTACTAGGTGCAATAACAACAAACTAAACTAAACTTTATTAAAATAATGTACAAAAACCATGACTTTGTTAAGGATCGTTTTATCAAGAAGTACATTTTAAAAAAGGTAAACAAAAATGTGTGATTTAGAGAACCCTCGTGAGCATGTCTATATGGAGAAAACTATATTGAAAAAGATAATATTCAGAGGGATATATTGGACTATATGTATATAAACCTTTTTAGCATAGAGATTAACCCCCACCCCACCCCCCAAAAAAAACCATTACAATCTGATTCAAAAAATGGCCCTGAGACCATTTGGGAAAAATAAGACAGAAATTAAATGAGATAAATTAAAGTTTTTTTAACTAGAATCAACAGGGGGAAATGTCAGGAAGGGAAGCTGGACAAGGTGTTTGGAGAGGTGACTTATATAATAAAAATTGTTAGAGGAGAACTGATGACTTTGGTGGGAACAAAGTTCTTTGTGGAGATATTAAAAGAGTTTAAGTAGCAAGCAGCCATTGTAAAATCCTTGCAGTGAGTAAGTTATGCTTCTATTGTTCTGTGATGTTGAGACCCTAGAAAGAGTACAGAGAAGAACAACAAAGATGATGATGGGTCTGGAGGCTAAACTGTTAGATGAACAATTGAGGGAACAATTGTTGTGGCCTGCCAGTGGCCAGCGGAACTGACAGCAGATTCAGACAGTGCGGGGATTGGGGAGGAACATGGGCCAGTCCTGGAGTCTGGGGAAGGCTCTGATGAGGGCAGAGGGCAGATGTGTCGGAGGCAGAGAGGGGGCAGAGCTGTCTGACAGTTATCAGCTGCCTTCAGAGTCAGACATCAGTGAGGCAGATGAACAGCTGGGGCCTGTTCCCAGTGTGTGCATGCGCAGAGTTGCCAGATGAAAGGAACAGCTCAGGAACAATGGTCGACTTGGGAGTAAGGCCACAGGTGGACGATGAATGACCCCTCCCATAGGGAATAAAAGAGGAGCGACAGGGGAGGGGTGTTTTCAGAAGATAATTAGTTCATTCCTGCATTCTTGCCAAGTATTGCAGCGACTGAAAGATATTGGCCTGGCCACTCTCCAAGCCTGATAAAGGTTGGTAATTGTGAACTATCTTGAAAGACTGTCGGCTGGGACTTTGCTGTAGAGGAATTCATTGCAAATTAAATAAAAGGAGTTTATCAGGATGAGGACTCGGCTTCGTGCTGCTGGGGAAATCTAGGTCAGAACCCTAGTAATGCCAAGTCTGGTGAAAAGAAGAACTAGGGATGATATGATAGTGGTGTTCCAGCACTTGAGGGGCTGTCCAAGAGAACAGAGGGTCCATCTATTCTCCAAAACACCTGAGAGCAGGACAAGAACTAACAGGTGGAAGATCATTAAAGAGAAACCCAGCCTAGAACTAAGGAGAAATTTTGTGACAGTGAGAATAATTAATCAACGGAATGTCAATGGAGATTCTCAGTCATCCAGGTTGTGGTTGTCCCAAAGGTGCTTTTTATCAAGAGGCAATTGGACTTCCTGGTTTCTCTTTGAAAGCTGAAGAAGCATCTTGGATAAGAAAACGTCTTCAAAGGAAAACCAGGAAGTCCAGTTGCCTCTTGAAAAAAAAGGCACCTTTGGGACAATCAATGGATTCTATGTGTTATTCTATGTGTCCTTCCTTCCACGGTCTCTCCTTTTTCTCTCAAGCTTAGAGAGCTTATGCTGACAACCCTTTCCGTGGTTAATGTCACATCAATGCAGATAGCCCTCAAAATGTCAGAAGTCCTCATGGAAATCACGTACAGGAGCAAAGAACTGTCTTCTTCTGCACAGGTGAGCAGGCAGCTCAGAAGGTGCCTTCTGACCTCAGGATAAAGCAACCTAGAATGTAACAAGGAGGTCAGAAGCTCAATATGGGTCATTTCAGATAATATTCCACAGCCTGCAAAAGGGGGGGAGGTTAAAAAAAGGGGGGGGGAATACAAAGAAGAAGTGTATAGGAACAATTTCATTTATTTTTCTTTTAGAAGTAAAGCATTAATCAGAGGGACGCGGTGGCTAAGATGCTGAGCTTATTGATCAGAAAGGTNTGACCTTGGCTTTCTAGAAAGAATTTTGTTATGGCTACATCGCATCTCACTCCTACAATCCCCCTCCCATTTTCCCACAATAGAAAATGCATAGGAGAACGTGTGGCAGGCCAAAGATCCAAAAGAAAAGATGGCTGCAGGCCTGATAGTTTGCTTGTGTGCCTTCCGCACATGTGCTTGGTCTAAAAAACATGACTAAATAAGACAACATACAGCTGGGATCTCTGCTACGTCCGAACTGCCTGAATACCACCTCTGTCCAGCATGTGCCCAAAAGCCCAGAAAACTAAGTGTAAGTTGGTCTCAGTGACCAATTCAGATTCTCGGATAAAACTGCTTAAGAAAGCAATGGGGACTTTCAAGATTAACTTCAGCGGGTAAATTGCTGTTACATATACTGTGATCCCAAGACCAGTGTTGAAAAAGATTTAGGCAGAAGAAGTCCAGATTTAGCAACATCCATGTTTTGCAGAGAGAAATTCAAGCCTATCTTGAATGATGAAGTTTAAATCTTCTACTATGTTCTTGGCCCTAACAGATCCTGTGGTGAATGAAGAACAATCCAGCCCAAATGAGAAAAGAAGACTTGTGAGTACTGGGGAAATCTGGAAGAAAATGAAGTGCATAAAATAGTGGATAGAAGGGATAGATTACTGATAAATTTATCTTAGCAATGTTTTAATGATGCTATTTGTGTGTCAAAGTAAGACAGACTATAATCGTGCAGTGAACAATGTAATATTGCAAGTGTTGCCTCTAACTTAGTGTTTCTCAACTTTGGCAACTTTAAGATATGTGGACATTTCCACACGTTCCACAAATTTTAAAGTTGCTAAGTTTGAAAAAGACTCTTCTAACAAGTCCACAAGTCTTAAAGTTGCCAAGTTTGGAGACCCCTGCAAAATTCCCACTGACCTTTTGAAATAATTTCTAGACTCTCACAATTTTTTAAAATTGTAATGAATCCAAATCCTTCAAGTGATTTAAATCAGATATGCAGTCCTCTATCCTCTACTGAAGGGACGCAGTGGCTCAGTGGCTAAGACACTGAGCTTGTCGATCAGAAAGGTTGACAGTTTGGCAGTTCGAATCCCTAGCACCGTGTAACGGAGTGAGCTCCTATTACTTGTCGCAGCTTCTGCCAACCTAGCAGTTTGAAAGCATGTAAAAAATAAGGAAGGTAACAGCATTCCATACATCTTTGGCATTTAGTCTTGCTGACCACATGACCATGGAGATGCCTTCGGACAGTGCTGGCTCTTCGGCATGGAGACGGAGGTGAGCACTGCCCCCTAGAGTCAGGAACGACTAGTACATATGTGCGAGGGGAACCTTTACCATATCCTCTACTGGTTTATTTAGAAAAAGTTAATCCAATTTATCCAAACTTATTCCTCTATAAGACATTAAGGGAATATAATGGAATATTAGACACACATAGCCAACAGTTGAGAGAAATACCGTACTTGATAGTCATTTATCTCTTAGAGGCAATTCAATCCAGGCTGCAAAAGAAGTTATATTATTTATAAAGTTACGCTATTTAATTATGTTATTTGGTTATGCCTGTTAAGTAAGGACGTTTGAAAGCGTCTGTCTCCTGCCATGGATAAAAGACTTTGCAGAGATATATTTGTGCCTAATTCCTCTCATTTCTGTGCCTTCAGGATGACAAGGGGGAAAATAGGATATACATTTTACCCAGCCGCCATGCCAGTGTCTTTGCCACAGTTATCTTGGGTTGGCCTGAGACTGACAGCAACAATTCACTCTACACTTGGTCTTGTGGTAAGTGTGTGTCTCTCAGTGTGCTTCCGTGCCATATTTCACAGGCAAGATTCTGATCATGTAGCCTTACAATAAAGTAGAATTAACCCAAGGAAATCTTTTTTTAAACACACACACACACAAAAGAAATGACTTTAACTCTGAGATAACTCAGGGCCACAACATTTATTCTGGTCCTGGGGGAGATAAGAAAGTGCAAATAACCTGGCTGAAAAACTGCCTCCGCAGGGTTCTGCTGGCCTCAGTGGGATGAATGTGTTCAGCAACAATCTATCCACACTGTGCAAAGAGAGATCCGGATTCCCCCCAACTGCCTGCCTCCTCCCAGCTCAGCAGTGACAGTGAAGGTTGTGGTGAAAAGCCCAGAGAAAGAGGAGAAGCAGGACGAGCAATGCTTGTACATCACAGCGAAGCAAGATCTGAGGCTGAGGATCAGGTGTGGCAACTTTGCATTGTTGTTCTTTAAGATGGATGGGGAGAAACCTCTTTAGAAAGTTAATCAGTTTGATTGTAAAAAAAAGGGGGGAGGAGACACCTTTCTAGTCCCCCAATTATTGTTGTGAATGCAGGCCCTGATATTCATGAATTATGATGAATATGAACCTTTTTGCTTCACAAATCTCACTAAGACACGTTGTTTGTTTGCTGTTCTGTTCAACAAGACCTAAATGTTATATTGAAACTGTTGTGGCCCAGCAGGATCCGGTTGAGCTGCTGATGGGCTCGGCTAGCGAGGAACCATATGAGTCTGCTATGGAAGATGTGGAGGATCCTGTGCAGGGTTCAGACTCAGTGCAGGGACCAGAGAGGCTGGTTGGCAACCAGGAGGCGCCTGAGGCATGGAGCAGTGGGGAGGATCAAAGGGAGTTTGTCCCTGATGCTAGATTGAGAAGGGCTGAGAAACGGAAGAAGCAACTCTGTAGGCAGTCTCATAGAAGATAATTAAGCACAGGTGGTTGTGGATTGGCCCCTCCCAAGAGAGTTTATAAGTGAGGCATTGGGAGGGGACATTTGCAGGAAACAACCGTTCAAACTAGTGGTGAAGAAAATCTGTCTGTATTCTAGCCGTGTCTGTTCGTTGGGATTATCTGCATTGCTTCATTTGAACTATCTGGGTTGCTGCCAAGATATTCTATTGAATGTGAGTTGTCTGGGCCGTCAGCCAAAGGATTCATTATCTCAGTAATTAAATAGGGGCAAACGGCCAAGTCTGGTTTATTCACAGGCCAGGGGGGGTCAGAACAGAAACCCATGACTTATGTGCCCATCTGGTATTGAGCATACCTTATTGTCCTATTTATTATTTTATTTATTTTATTTTATTTTATTTNTTCTGCCAACCTAGCAGTTCGAAAGCATGTAAAAATGCAAGTAGAAAAATAGGAACCACCTTTGGTGGGAAGGCAACAGCGTTCTGTGCGCCTTCAGCATTTAGTCAAGCCGGCCACATGACCACGGAGACGTCAGGAACGACCAGCACATTTGTGCGAGGGGAACCTTTACCTTTAAAGCATTAATCATCAACATGGCAAGATTGTACAATAATAGACAGGCCCAAAATTTCTGTTTTTAAGTGAGACATTTGTTAAGTGAGTTTGTCTCCATTTTATGACCTTTCTTGTCCCAGTTATTAAGTGAGTCACTGCAGTTGATAAGTTATATAACACTTAACAAGCCGGTTGTTAAGTGAAGCTGGCTTGACCATTGACTTTGCTTGTGAGAAGGTTGCAGAAGGGGATCACATGATGCCAGAACATTGCAGCCATCATAAATATGAGTTGATTGCCAAGCATCAAAGTTTTGATCCCATGATCGTGGGGAGGCTGCAAAGATTGTAACTGTTAATAAACAATCATAAGTCACATTTTTCAGTGCCGTTGTAATTTTGAACAGTCATTAAATGAACTGCTGTAAGTCGAGGACTTCCTATATTCTGTATAAGAATCTGAAATATTAACGAGGGGTCCTTAATGCTCTCTGAGCTTGGTTGTTTTCTTGCAGGTGTTTCATCATTACCCAAACTAGGTAATATTACCAGTACTCTGAGGACCCCTCATTTCAACCCTGAGCTACAAATATTTTCCTTTATTGGGAACTATTAGCAATCAAAGCATATTGGCACTAGAAAAGGGTCAACAGAATTCAAGGTGGGCTGGACTTCATTCTTTTCTGAGAGCAATGGGACTTGAAACTGATGACAAGGTTGATCCCTCCCTCAGTCCCAGCCTGGTCATCTCCTACAGACCTTTAAAAAAGAAAAAGAAATATGTTTTTATTGTTTTTACATTTAGCACAGCGAAGCCATTATGACCGTACAATCACATTATATACAGATAATCTCATCCATTAGCTGTCAGCCTACTTAATACATTATCTATCCTTCCATCCAATTCCATTATTTACAATTTGTTCCAGTCTCGTCACCTTGTCTTATACCAATAATAAAATCTGTTCCAAACCTTATAATATTCCGATTCCCCTTTATTTTTTAGTTCAAGGGTGAGCCTATCTGCTTCCGCACAGGGCGAAATTTTCCTAATTATGTCTAACTCTGATGGGCTATTTTCTTTTTTCCAATACTGAGCATAGGTTATTCCCGTTGCAGTTAATACATGTATAATTAGATAGAGCACATCTTTCTTATACCCCTGCGGTATTATGCCTAGGAGGAAAATTTATGGTTTATTTATGGCTACAGAATTTGTTCTGTCACCATTTGTGCCAGCCATGATTGCATAATTTTCCAATATCTTTTTGACTCATTGCATGTCCACCACATATGGAAAAAGGTGCCTGATGTTTTTTTGCACTTCCAACAATTTGGGACCAAATTTTTAAACATTTTGGAGAGCTGCGCTGGGGGAAGATGTCATCTGTAGAACATCTTATACAGATTTTCCTTATAAGCCGTGGCCATTGTTCGTTTCCAATTAAGTGTCCAAAGCTTTTCCCATTTAGCCAATTCCACATTATAACCAAAGATTTTCGCCCAGGCAACCATAGTTTCTATGGTTCCTACAGACTCTTCTTCTCCTCTCTAGGTGGAAGCTGGTCATACTCTGAAGAGTGTTAGTGAATCCTTACTGGTGGTGGACACAGAAGATGGAGATCATCTAAAGCGCAAGGAAGCTGCCAGCTACCTTTTCAGTGCAGTAAGCAATGTCTTGGAAGCTACTCTGGAGAATGGAACAGAAAAAGTCTCTGTCCCTGAGGTGGCACAGGTGAGGGTGTGGTGAATCTTGTGTGTTGCCTTGCATTTACATGCCTCTGCAAATCTTGTTGGCATTCCTGCTCACCAGTTATGGTCCCAAGTGATGGAGGGCATGTTCTGGATACTCTCATAAAATAGGTGCTTGTCTTTTCACCCACAGTTATCTTTAGCAGGTTGCATGTATTTTCTAAGACATCTTCATCTTCATATGTCACATTGGAGGGAAGAAATTTATGGTGTGGTTTCCCATTTCCTACTTTGTAAATGGTTAGAGGCATCCAAAATTTAAAACAATGTTCCATTAGATAACAATTTGATGGATGTCATAGAAAGTGGGGACACTGGTATCCATTGGAATATCTTTAGGGGACTCCGTCCTACCTGACATAAAGGACTCTTACAGAATTTGTTTATTTCTTCCGCCATAGAATTCAGTCTCGCAAGAACTTGTAACCACAGTTGAAAACCTTCAGAGTGCTCTTCTTTTTGGAAAATTGCCTGACAGTGAGCCTTTGGTGCTAAAAGCTCCTTCTGCAGCTATGTATATCAACAGGTAATCCATCTCAACTGTTTTCCATTTCTATTTAGGAAAGACATATTATATCATGGACACCCTATCTGGGCTGCAAACTTTCTTATGACCACTAGGGAAAAGAAGGGAGGGAGGGAAGGAAGGAAGGAAGGATCCTAGTTTGTTTCATAAAGTGCCTTTCTAAGATTATGCACTGTATTATACCCAAAATAGACTGATTTCACTTAGCATTTTTTATTTTCCTAGAAGTAGCTTCTCAGAATGATTTCCTAGATTTTCTGTTTAGGCTCCTTAAGCTGGAGATCTAGAAACAAACTAAGGTTTATCTAATACTTGTCATCTCTGCTCATCTCTGGTCTCACCTAATAGCCTTTCCCTTCTCTTCCCTTTCTCCCTTCCCTTCCTTCCTTCCTTCCTCCCTTCCCTTCCTTCCTTCCTCCCTCCCTCCCTCCCTTCTCTTCCCTGCCTTCCTTCCTTCCTCCCTTCCCTTCCCTCATTGCATGACATGTTAAATAATAAACAATGGTTAATAACATTATCCAGATCCTTACAATATATTAAACAAAACCCAAAGTCAAACAGCCACATTCTATCTTGCAGAGTGTTATGAACTCAAATTCTCATTTGTTTCTTATTTCTCCTCTTAAGGGTGCATAAAAGAAGATCGAGGGAGGAGCCATTCCTCATAAAATTAGTCCTTTCACCCAGGGCAGCCTGCCACTTAGGATCCGTGTGTTTACTTTTCTGCCTTGTCTTCTCACCTGTGTTGTTTTCTGACCCTTTTTTGTGTAAAGGTTGCAGACCGAGAATGTCAACAGCACGGCCATTAAAATCTCCAACTCCACATCCGCTGCTTTCACGCTCCCCTCTGCTTCTTCTCTCAGCATCTCGGGAGACAGCGATGAGACGGTGGACATCAGGGCAAGTTCTGCACCTTTATTGGGGGTTTCTTTGCTCTGGGAAGATGGGTTTCCTTCTTGGGTCTTGAAATGTCCCTTCGTTTTTAGTTCAGAATTTAAATGTAGAAATGGCAGTGATGGTCCATATGGCTGTCTCTCCTTTTTTTGTTTTTACTTTGGTGCATTCAAATCAAGATGGACTTCTCGAGACTGTTCTGGAAAAGTTTTTGCAGGTTTCCTGGCAAGAATTGATTTGCCATTGCATCCTTCCAAGGGCTGAGAGACAGGGACTGGCTCTGATCTGAAGAAATGTTGACCATTAAGTATCCCTTCTTGCAGATGGTGAGTTTCTCGGTGAATCCCTTTTCCTCAAGTGACTCATTTGATATCCATGGAACAGTTGGAGGCCTGACTCTCACCAGCCTAGATGGACTGGTCATTCCAGTCTATGACCTGTCAGAAGATATTGAGGTAATTTTTCTTCTCTGCGTGCTTTCCACCCTTTAGAGCAGGGGTGTCAAACTCAAGGCCCGCTCACCAGATCTGACACGCAGGGTGCTTAGATCTGGCCCAGCAAAGGACCAGCCCGCGGTGCCTCCACCAGTGAAAATGGAGCTCAGGAAGGACAAATATGGCCCACCCGGACTCTGTTTTCGCTGGCAGGGAGGCTGCAGGAGGCCGTTGTGGTTGAAAACAGAGGCCCGATGAGTGACGTTGAGCTGGCCACATACCCCTGGCCATGACTACTCCGGCCATGCCCTCCCCCCCCGCTTGAGGTCAAACACAACACTGATGCAGCCCTCAATGAAATTGAGTTTGACACCTTAGGGGGATTGCTGAAGACAAATTTGTCCTGTATCCTGATGGTTCTTTTCTTCTTCTTCTACATTTGTAGTTCCTCTGTTAAACCTTTAGTAATACCAGAGTTGAGAATGATCAGAGCAGAAAAGACTAAATATTCTACCAACATTCTACATCTCTCCACATCCCTCCATTTTCTCTTCCTCAAGTTATTCACTCTCTCCTCCATTCTTCAATATTTAGGAAACAGGAGCACCTTCTTATTTGTCCCATTATCCTTTAAGTTCAGGGGTGGGCTGCTACGAGTTTGCCTGGGTTCAGGAGAACCCGTAGATAACATTATAGCTAGTTTGGAGAACCTCCAAATTGCATCCCTGGCTGGCCCCGCCCACCCCACTCCACCACGCTTCTCCCAGGAGTCTCCACACGGCCTGTTTTGGATGTGAAGTAAGTGCAAGATCCATGCGGAGGGGGAAAATGGACCTCCTGGAAGTTCTGGAAGGCCAGAAATGGCCCTCCGGAGGGCCTCCGGGGCCTGGAGGAAGCAGTTTTCACCCTCCCAGAGGCTTGAGGAATGCTTCCGGAACCTGGGGAAGGCAAAAATGGCCTCCGCACCGTGGTGCAGGAGGCTGACTAGACCATGCCAACCATTGCCACGGCCATAATTACTTTGCCCACCATCACCACCCCAGCCATCACCATGCCCAACCAGGGTGTGGAATTTTTGAAGCCCACCCCTGCTTAAGTTTATAAAAAGTTGGCGTAAATTACCGAGTAAGACTATGGTTAGTGCTATCCTTTCACGTGTAAATGCTTGTGATTTATTTTTAAGGCTCTCAAGGTATGAATGGATCTCCAGAGCTAATTGGTTAACTTTAACCATAGATAAGGTTACCCAGGAGTCCTGCAACTCAAGAGGACAAGACTATATTGAATCTGGGAAATTTCACAGCTGTCCAAGTCAATGTGACTTCAGCAGACTCATCTCTAGTGATCTACCTGGAGATGGATCAAAATATTCCACTTATCCTTTATTTGGGATATGACTACCTTCCTAACGAGACTGATCATGAACTGGTGGCACATCTTCCTCACAACAGAAATACCAGAGGTAAAATAAAATTGCACATTTTAAAAACTTAAGTCAATCATGGTTTGCTGAGTAAGCCATAATGACTACCCATAACGGCTTGGCTCAGACCTAAAACGATATTTTTAACTACATTATGACATTGTTCTGTGGTCTTCTCAGAATGGGATTTGATGATATCATTGTGTCCTTTGAATCCACCTGTTTTCCTAACCTGTCTCATTTTTTTTCCTGTTTAATTAAAAATAGAAAATTAGCATTCTGAAAATGAAATTGTTAACTTTCAATACAATTTTCTTTCTAGGAGTTTCCCCAGCCTAAAATTGCACTCTTAAATTTGTATATGTATATGTATATGTATATGTATATGTATATGTATATGTATATGTATATGTATATGTATATGTATATGTATATGTATATGTACATGTATTTGTTTTCTGAGGTTTTCGCGGGTGTTAGTATGTAGGTCTCTAGTTATTCGGGTTTTCTCCCGCGTAAAAT